TGCTAGCATAGGCTAGTGGGTTTATAATTATATATGAGCCCAAAATCTAGGCTGATCCAATGATTACGATTGCATTTCGTATATGAATTTTAATATTTTTTCTATAAATCCAAATAAGTTGAAATCTAAAATAGAATGGTAGAATAGAAATCTAAAATAGAATAAAAAAATGATAAAGATTATAAAAATAGAACATTAGAAATATAAAAAAATAGATTAAATAAAAGATAAAGGAAAATCCAATAAATAATAATAATAATAAATAAAATAAAAACAAATAAAATTAATTAAATTACATGTATTCTATTATACTAATTAAAAAGTAGATATGTATTACAAGTGATAATGTTATCTTCCGTTGTTTTCTTGCAACTAATAATATTAAATGAATGGTTTAAAAAACTGATCAGTGCCTCAGATTGGGCACTTTAAAAATCTATCTGGATCGGTGAATCGACGATCCGGATCGGGAATCGGCCGACTCGATCGGATTAAGCTTTAAAAAAATCCAAAAAAATTATTAAAATTAATTATAAATGTTGTCTTTTAGGAATCCAATAAGAAATGAGTGTACTTCATTATTTACTTTCACGTTTTTCATCAATTTGTGAATATTGGGATGTTTTTTCCCTGTATAAACTTATGTTAACCATTAAATTTACATCACACATAAGAAAAATCATATAATTATCATGGATAAAATATATAATCATACATGTACTACTATAAAGAGTAGATTTAATCGATAAAAAATGACTATCAAATTCTCAAATTGGCGGAAAGCCCTAATCCTTTAAAAAAACCCAAATTATTACGAACTAACTAACTATAATCCAAATTTATTATAATCTAACTAACTATAATGTTATATGCTAAAATTAATATTGTTGGTTTAAATTTAGTAAAAGAGATTGTTAATAGAAAGACAGAGATTTCAAATGGAATAAATTTCTTTAAAAAAAAAATTAATTTTTTAGATTTATAGAATAAATTTAGTAAAAAAAGATTATTAATAGAAAAAGAGAGATTTACAAAAAATTAAAGTTTTTTTTCAAAAAATTTATTTCTTCAATTTTTCAAAATTTAAATTTTTTAGATCTCTAGAATAAATTTAGTAAAAGAGATCGTTAATAGAAAGACAGAGATTTCAAATGGAATAAATTTCTTTAAAAAAATAAATATTTTAGATTTATAGAATAAATTTAGTAAAAAATATTATTAATAGAAAAAAAGAGATTTTAAAAAAAAAAAATTCAAAAAATTTATTTTCTGCTTTTTTTTGTTGTTAACAAAAATGTAGTGAGTTGTGTTCAAGGTGGGAATCGATCTTGACAAGTGAAGGCCACGATGTAAGTGAAAACCACTCTGCCAAATCAACACAAGTATAATTAATTTATGTATTAATGGTACTTATCCAAACTCCTTTATAATTTAACGCACCGTGGGAATTATCCCATATCCAACAACGGGTTTTAAATTGATGTCTATAAATTCCAACCCTCGAGAATTGTCAGTTTTCCACTAAAATCGATACGGGTAATCGATCCCGTTGAGACTCGCGGAGTTTTAAATCACTCAATTAAATTGATACGGTCTTATCACCAAGCTCCCCATATCCATGTAGTAATCAATTGCGATATTTTATTCCCCTAGAAAAGAAACTTTCCCCTTATTTTTCCTAAAGTTGAAAGTATTTATTATATCTGTTTCCAAAGGGTAATGAAGAGAGAAGCATGCAAATAGAGATGTAGATGGTGATTCAGAAGAAAGAACAAAGTAAGACCTCTCTCTTTTGCCAAGAATTCTGTGTCTAATTTTCTCCCGGATCATTTGGTGGAGAAGATCCTCTTGCTCCTGCCTGTAAAGAGCCTAGTGAATCTCAAAAGGGTGTCTCAGTATTGGAATCAGTTCATCTCCTCTCACTACTTTGCACTAACCCACAATCTCTCTTCTCCTCCTCCATCCCAACCCTGTGCTCTTTTCCTTCAGTATCATACTGTCTATATGGGATCTCTCTACTATCACCTGCGCATATGGCATGCACCCATGGGATTCTATGCTACCTTACAAAGGAAAACACACATACTTTCTTCATTGCCAACCCAGCAACTGGCCAATGCTCCCCCATTCCAACTTTGGGTTTTATTTAAGCCTTGAAAACTGCAATTTCAAAATCGAGGCCGAATGCGTTAATTGGTGCAATTACCGGGGCTCAAAAGGAATCGAATACTTGATATTCGATTCATTACTTGGAGCTTGGAGAATGCCAAAGAAACCCAGGCCAACATTGCATCCACCATATGCTTGGACTTCAGTATGCCCTTGGAGATCAGCATCACACGGCCGCATATGGTACCTCCTTGAAGATATCTTGGCTTTCGACATGTTGACAGAGGAGTGGATGACTATATACCAGAACCGACCGCCTACAGCAACATACACGTGCATTACAACACTAGATCAGTATGTGAACCAGGGTTTGAAACCTGAGTCTTGGGTTTGAACCGAAGAAAAGAAGTGGGTAGAAGCGCACCACATTGCAGATATGTGTGACACAGTGAGAAACCATGGCTATCTACAATTTTTGGTAGGGGAGGTGTCAATCTTCACTAGAAATAATGAGACATTAGCATGTGATAAGAATGGAAAATTGAGTGTGCTACTTAATTCTTATTGCTATAACTGCATACATTACAAGCCTACTCTATGTTCTTGGGAGTTTGGTGAGAGAGGACAAGTTAACAGCCTTTAGCACTAGGAAAAGAGGGAGAGATTCTTGTTGATAATGCATAGGTCTTCCATAGAAAGAGATTTGTGAAGGTGAAAGGTAGGATGGAGAGAGATTTACAGGTGAGAGGAGATATGTTACATGTTCTTCAAAGAAAAATACATGAAAAGAATGTTGCATGTTCTTCAAAGAAAAATACATGAAAAGAATGTTGCATGTTCTTCAAAGAAAAATACATGAAAAGAAGATGGAGAGGAATTCAGTGAATGGAGGTGTTGAGAAGGATTCAGTGATTGCCGGAAAAAAAAAAAAAAAAAAAGCAAAATAAATTCTTTTGGGGAGTATTGCATCAGAAAAGAATTT